TGGGTGGGATGTCAGAATTGGATAAAGCCTGAAAACCTACACGCCCCATGTAGCTACACCCAAATGACGCTCGCGGCTAAAATCCACAGTCAAATCTGTCAGAGAGAGCCTCCCTCAAGCACCCAATTCACAAACACCACAATCCAATGCCTTCCAGCAATCACTAACCTCTGTTATGTAAAGAAATGGCAATGTGGGTCCGACGAAGCCGATCAAAAGCTGTGGCGAGAGCTGCGCTACACACAAATCCAGCAGCTGCAGCGCACAGAACAATTTTTGGAGAGGGGCCCTTGAATCATGTGAAGAGCTCACCCCTGCAGCACCGCCTCCAAGCGACCCGCCCCAGTCCTGCTCTGCGGATTGGGTCGACATAGCGTCGCAGTCATAACCGCCTACAACGCATCCGGTTATCAATACTTTGGGACGTTACGCGACAAGGACGGAGGATGTTTCTGAGGCTGTCCGCGAACGAGCGAATTTCGGGGCAAGTGATTTCCGGGTATTGAGTGCATGCATGGCGGGTCTCGACAAAAGGGGTATGATGTTTTGAGTCGGTGCGACGTGGATTGGACGGTGTATTTTCGGGGCTGAGGAGTGTAGAGAAACAGCCAATGGGAACAAGGCACGTGGCGAGCAGGGCTAGCGCGTGAGGGCGTAAAGTTTGGAGTGGTGCGTGGCTGGCTCTGTATGATCTTCATCCATTTAGGTCTTGGTGTTCATCCTTTCAGGTTCTAGTCTTCATCCTACCTTGTGAAATATCATGCGGTGCATGAGTAAATACTTACAATTTTATTTTGCATCGTGTAGATTATTTTAGAACTGAATATTTTTTTATTTTGAAATAGATTAAATTTCTTAATTATTAAATATCTTTAATTATTAATTTAAAAACTTGAAAATTATGTTTATAAATAACCTAATACAAAAAGAAAGAAAATACATAGTTTATATCACATTTACTTGAAAAAATTAAATGTACCTCTCAAAAGCTATCATGAAAACTATTATATTTAAAATAAATATAAGCTCTCTAGTTTTTTATGACATCCATTTCATTTACCAATTTTTTAAGATAAAATATAAAAAGAAATGGGTAATTTCAGGTCATATAAATTGTTGCAGTAATTTGATGGATCATGCTTTTTTAAATATCATGGCATTATGAAATATTCAAGAGCATTGATTTTTGTCCTAATATTCTAATAGATGCTAGGATTAAACAAGGGACTTGCTAAGTGGACACCTCCAATAAATGTCTTATTGCAAAGTCATTTCTTGTCATATGGTACATTTCTTGCACCATGCCAACAAATACACCACTCTTATAAGTCTTTTTACAAGTTGGACACTAATAAGGTTGAAGAATATAAAATCAATAACAAAAAAACAACAACAACCTACAACACATGAACATTAGCAATTTACAAACTAATCATTGCAAACAAAACAAACAATAAAAAAAGAGTGTATACCCAGCATAACTTTTATATGGACAACCTTGTTTATTTATTTGCTTTGTTTAGTTTTTGTATTGTTGGTGTTTGTGTATTGTAGTTTTTTAGTTTTTATACATTTCAACCTCATTAATGTCCAACTTGTTAGAAAAGAAATTGCATATAAGATGTATTGTTGATGTGGCACAAGAGATGTCCATGCAATAAAAGGAAGGTGTCCACCTAACAATTCCTTTAAATAATTTACTAAAAGAATCATTTCCATGCTAACTAATCAAATACTACAAAGTGGTTTAGACTATCTGATAACTAACAATATGTTATTCCTCCATAATTAATGAAGACACTTTGATTGATGCAAAGGTTTCTGAGGGATTCAAGCGAAAGGTAGTGTATATTGATGTTACTAGAGATTTAGTATAATACAATTTCTTGAAATCAGGAAGACCAAGTAAGCCCTGTTGAGGTAAGAAGAAAATCTAATCAGAACATTCAAGGTGAAAAGACAGACAATTACCAGTAACATATTCGTTGCTAGAAGCCCCTAAAATTTGATGAAAATCAAAGCCAGATATCAAACCCCACACTGTGGAAGGTATACCAGCTTTCCCAGAAAATACAAGCTCTCTACATTATTTTCATCTGTATCTACAAAACGTCACAAAAAGGAAAAGAAAAGCCCTTTATATTATTCCTGGCTATTTATTGATACCTCGTTACACGCCATTCTATTAACTTGAATCAGCTACCGACAGCTACAAAATCTGGGAAGTAGTAATTGCTGATCAACTAATCTCGCTGGGGCAAGAAGCAAATTTATCTCCTGCGACTGCCAATTACAGCAGCCGCAATGCCACTAGCTACCACACCCACTGCAGCAGCCGCCAAGCCAACTCCAACCAAACCATCTAATGAACCACACGAGCTAACAGTCATAAGTACAATGCACAAACACTTGTCCTTAAATCGAATAAGAAGAATGATTGAAACTGGGAACGGGTGATCCAAAGAGAATTGAGCAGATTCTTACCTATTGAAGACATGAGAAGACCATAACGATATGAGACCAATGCAGCAACAACTCAGAATCGATGCATATTGCAAGAGGGGGGATAAGAAACTCACCCTTCGCAATTTTATCCTCGACCACTTTTTTCAGCCCCGCAGCCTGTCGGAAATCGGGAGAAATCTGCGCATTGATTTGCAATTCAAATATGAATACCAGAATACACTTTAGATAACTAGGTTGAGAATCAAGATCAAAACGTAAACTGACGGTGTGTAAAAGGGCATGGCCTCAACAAGGAAAAAATAATGTACTTGAAGAGCTTGGTCAAGAAGACGCCGGCTCCTCGCATATTCACCAGCTCGGAACTGGCCCACTGCCAGCAAGTACAAAATCTCTCTCTTCTGCATGGGAGCTCCCACACCTGCCAATGAAGCTGCGCATACATCATTGAAAGCGTGTCAAAATTGGTTGTAATGAAAATGAAGTGGCTTCAATTATTTGCAAAAATGAAAACGGTTCGGGTGTGAAGACACTCATTCTCGATACTCCACAGTACCAAACCAGGCACGGATGGCACAAAACTCTTACCACTCAACAAAGGCCTCGAAACTATGGTCGCGCACCAAATGTTGAGAAAAACACGAGTCATACTACCTCTCAATTACTACTGGATTATTGAACATAACTCTGGAATTGGTATGAAGGAGACGGGGAACACCTTCTAGCATGGCAATACCACGCTGAACATCCGGTGGATTGCGTGAATGGACAAGAGCCCATGCCAATCGCATGATGCTGTCATTGTTATCACCGGACACTGCAGCCTTTTCGCCAGATGCCTCTAATTCGCAGCTCTGCAGAAACATTTGTCGAACTTGAGCGCCTCCAGAAGGACATCACTGTGATTAAAGAAAGAAAGACAGAAAGAAAGAAAGAAAAACATACTTACAGTGATCATTTCCGAGTAGTTTTGACTATGATGCTAAAATAACAATCGTTTCATCTAGATAGAACATAGAGTAGCTATAGAAACCAGTCCATTGGAAAAAGCTAAATGAGGAACATAGAAAAGAAAATAAGCTTACGGCAATCATTTCCGAATCTGTCCAAGGCAGCGAATCGCCACCTCCGAAAAACGTCTCAATTTTGGAGCCAATGTTGTTGAAAAATGCTTCCGCCATTTTATTTTATTTTTGCACTGCATGCAACAATTTAGCGAGTCATTATCTGAACATGCCGCCTGCAAATCAATAGGCACGATGGAACCTCAACCGGGTTGCACACTGGTGATGCAAAACAAGCTTGAAGCAAAATATTAAAACTTTAAAAAATTGTCCAGGAAATATATCCTGAGACAATAAGCTGGAAGAAAGCCCAAACAGATGGTGGACCACTCAATTGGGCACCAAGACTAGGGCCGGAAGGAGAGAGAACAGAGAAACAGAAGTCTCAACCACGGGGGTTCCGACTCAAATCCTAATTCTAAACTGCTTATAGAGATGAAGATAAATTAAGCTTGTCTGTCTCAGTGAACAATCGGTCGATCGATCCATAAATATCAACTTAGCGGAAACCTCCCTGATGCCCAATATACAATCGCTTACATACCGCAGACTAAAGGTGTCTCACCCAACTACAGACGCATGATCCCCCGAAAAGAATCCTCAGGAGAGAGCTACAACCAGCTGTTAATACGAATCCAAGCTGCAAGACAATCCTACAATTCTCCCGCATCATTTTACCCGGATTTTCTAAAGAGTCATCGCCTCCACGAGACAGCGCCTTCAAGTGACTCTACATCAACGAATAGAACCCAACATCACCGTCGCGACAGCACGCCGACAACGTTCCGCTGGACGCGACGACAATATCACCTCCTCGATCAATTCATGAACTCTATACTCATGCACAGATCCGACCCTAGCTACATAAAACACCTCTAAACCCTAATCTTGAGCAATCGACAAAACCCACGAAATTCCCACTACCAAACAAGCTTCCACATCACCACAGGACGCATCGTCGTCTCATTGCACGACATCGACTTACCAGAGGACCTTCAAACCTCCCAGCGGCGAAGAACTGAACACCGAAGTCGCGAATCCTTTGCGACGTGATAACGCCCAAATAAAAAAAACTCAGAGAAGAAACCCAAGTGACGAATTGTGGGGAGCTTCAAGGTGGGCAAGCGCGTCGCAGCGAACGAGGGGGGAGGGGAGGACGATCGAGCAGAAGCGCGGCTCTGAATCGGGATCGGCGAAGCAGGTGACGCGGGGGCGCCTCGCCTCGCACAACCGCATTGGCGCCCGACATGCCGCGGCCGCGGCAACGCGGTGCCTGCCTGCACCTGCGCTAGGCTGGGACTGTTCTCCGTGGAATCACGTCACCGTGGTGGGGCGGGGTGGACAGTTCCAACGCTGAATCTGCACCGGCAATATATTTTTGTTGTGTGCCCTCTCCCACTTGGGCTGCGGCCCCTTCGTCGAAACTCTGAGCCCTTCACTCCATTATTATAACTATGATGGCTCTTAGAAAATTTGATATTAGAATTAATTCATTAGTCATAAATTATATAAATAGTACTATTGCAATAATTTTTATGTTAATACTACAAAATGTTGAGTTCTTAAATTGAATTATTTATCACTATTTTGAAATTTGAATTGTTTGACAATATTTTGTAAGGTTTTAAAAGAAAAAAGAAAAAGTATTCAAAAAGTCTGTTGTTATTTACAAAACAATCTTTAAAAATATGAAAGGTGGTGGCAGTTTTAAGTACTAAACAATAAAATTTGAGATGTCATGCTTCAGTTTCCTGTCATTCTCTCTAAATTAAAAATGCATAAAAATTCAAAAATATTTTTGTCTAAATAAACAAGTATATATATATATATATGCACAAAAAATTGTGAATTTTTATACCGATTTGTCAAATATCATTTTGGTGTACCAATTTTTATAAAAAAAAATTTCCATTTTTAATCAATATTAAATGACATAAAATCATACAACTTAATAAATCATTTAGTGGATTATTTTTAAGTAGGTATCTCATACGTTTGAATAACATTATTAAATTGCTCAAATTAACTAGCATCTATATTATTTTACATCTTTTATAAACCAAAAATTCTAATACTATGAGATTTGCAAATATCTGTGCAATAACTTTTTGAGCTACATCTCTAATAGTTTCGTAGTAATCTTCCAGATCCAAATCTTCTTAATTCTAATAGTAGAACTTCATCCCATCAGCAATGTCTTATCAAAAACATTCATGCAGCGATTACTACAAACGATGTAGTTGTAATGAACTTTGGACTCTCTCACAAAACAAAACATGCTCACATTCTACACTTCAAAAAAATGTAAGTGTGTAAAAGTGAACTTCAACGCACCAAATGGAGGAGCGGAAGTGCTAGGCTGTCAAGACTGTTGCCGAGGTGTTGCACCGAACAATGAAAGAGTGTGGTGCACGGTGAATGAAGCGGTGACAATTCAACTGCTGGTGCGTAGAATCCATCTTTTCGCACTGGATCCATTCATGCATTAAAAGAAAGTTACGACTTTGAAGCGGCCTACATATATATATATATATATATATATATACACACACACACACACATATATATATATATATATGTATATATATATATGTGTGTGTGTGTGTGTGTCGCGAGAGAAAAAAGCGATGAGCATTAAAGACAATCTCGTCTGGGAATTAACGTTTTGGTTGGAGTGACAACTCTTGATCCATTCAACACTTTCTTTTTTTTATCGTGACGGTGAGAACTGCTTATAGATTGCAGCAGATTCCTAGAGTTTATGATCCTGTGCAAATCCAGCTTATCATTTACTGGACCCATAATCTGTGTACACAAAAAAATCTAGCTTCTTAAGCCTTGTGAAGATCGTTACTAGCTCGATATCTCGTGTACATCCTGATGCTGATTCATCGGAAATATCGAACATGCCTAAAGTGACAATGAACCCAATTGAGGCGAGTGATTCTACTGAGCATTCTCCGTTTGGATATAAAAAATTGGTATACAATTACAATTTGTTTCGCGTGAAACAAAATCAAACTAGCAATCCAAACACCGTGTCCACGATCATCGTATGTACAGATGGCTCTGTTGGCGAGGTTCACGATGTTGGTTACCGCTGTTGAAACCACCTCAGTGATGTCTGAGATGCCGTGCTCCAGTAGCCATCGTAAGATTCAGCTCCAGGGGCTCCTCATCGTTTCTGTATCTGCCGGTGGCGCATTCGACGGCGTCCACATGCTGAGCACGCTTCCAGAAAGGTGTCGTCGACGTCTCTTCGGATACGACATCATCCAGCGGCTTTCCGGGGACAAACATGTGAGTCTCAAGGTTATCCAGATGCTTGTGGAAAGCTTCACTATCAGCAACTCTTCTCTGCAACGTCTCAGCTTCCGCTGCTCCAAAAAGTAGTCCATACTTCCGCGACTGTAGCTCCTTGAGCACTTCAATTGCTTCCCTCAAGAGATCTGCCTGTCGCTCAGTAGGGGATAGGTTCGTCATGCAGGATTCAGAATCTTCTGGATGGCGATCCGCTACTGGAAATGAGTCGGCACTGCTCATCCCTTCTTCATTAATCCTTCCGGTTCGCAGCATCTGAAGATGGCTCTTGACGTGAGCTATGGTGATTCCGTCCCTACCCATGCATTGGACAATCCTCTTTGGCGTGGCTTCTGCGTCATCAGAGACGAGAAATAATTAGATCTATTTTGTGGTGGATGCGTCAATTTATCGAGCATAAAAGTTTATCGTGCCATCAATCTACAATTGTGCAATTTAATACGGAGAACAATCCTTCTCGCCAAATTAAAAGACAAGCCTACGAGCAGCCCGGGAACTGCATGATTCTGGATTCTATCATTACGTAATGTACTCTCAACTGTAGTAACTACGACAAATTGAAAATTGTATGAGTGTTCATGAACTTACTGTCTTTTCCGCCCAGCCGATTCACGGCGCACATGAAACTTTGGTGCAGGTCAAGCGTCCACTTCAATTTGTGCGTGCTTGAGCGAACATAAGGTCGTGCCTTCCTGTATCGTTTGAAAGTGGCCAAGGACTCCTCTCCAGTAACGGCGTGAATATTCTGTGTGCTCCTCCTCGAAGTAGAAGGCAGACGACGAGAGATCCTGCTCTCATCTCCTCTTCTATCATGATTAAAATGGTCGAAGCCAAGAGCCATCGTCGCAAATGATTCTGTGGGGATAGCAGTTATGCGACTCGCACGAAGAAAGGAAGAAAAGTACAGAATGGTCTCCAGTTACCGTTTACTGTCCATTAACTTCAGAAACCCGATTTAAACTCCCAATCGTCCAAGTTTAGATTGCAAATGCCACAGTAGTCTTCTGATTTAAGAGAAGTGAAGGAAATTCTGCTGATATAGAAGAAACTAGCCGATCACAGCAGCTTCTATGCAAGAAACAGAGCTTGCGTGGCAAGCCACCGACACCAACACCTGCCTAGGTCTGATTGAGTACAATTCACGCAATCTTGCTGGATAGTGCATAAATGGTATCCCCCAGAATGTCCCATGCATGTGCTTGGGATACAGACCGTACCGCCGATAGGACTGCAAACATTCTCTAATAATTAGCAAATGAGGAAACAACTACGACTACAATGACTTTTTCGCTTTGGAGACCAACAATAGGCCTTCCTTCTTCGTGAAGTATGAATCGCCCAGCCTGTACTCGTGATCTAAGCTGAGCAATCGAGACTCCTAGTTGACAAGTCGGTCCCGAAAACGAAATGAGTTACTGACTTCCTCGAAATCTATTTGAATCTCAGCGATGTTTTCGACTTCAAAGTCAGTCTATTTATTCTCAAGGTGAGAGAGCAGCAATGTGTTCAAACAGATTAAAAAGCCCCCGCGGGATGTAAACTAGGATAACGTTACAGTTCTCATCATTCCTATCTCTAAGACAACCACCCCGATATCGTGGAAGCTTTCCTGTCGGAATTGATCCTCAGATAGCTTGAACACTTGAACTTACAGTAAGAAAATTAGATAAGAGATGAGTATTCTCTTTGGCGCTGACAGCTTTTACCCATTCTCGTGACTGGATTTACGGCAGAGTTACAGCTCTGGTGAATCGTAATTGGTAGACGCGTTTCTGCCGATAGCTTACCGCGTCACTCTCATCACGACTAGGAGCAAAACCCTCCCGACCACGCTAAGTTATTCCGGGTCCACAGGTGAATGACAATGGGAGCAGTGAGGATAGTCTCGAGAGCATTCCCAGATGAAGCGGTAACTGTAGATTGAGACGAAGAACTTTCAGCAGGTCTTTCAGATCCACCGCAACCTATAAAACGACAAGGTCTTCCGCAAGGAAATAGCATCAGAAGTTGAGGTCCCATGAGAATTAATATTCTGGGGTAGGAGTTCGATCACGTGCGATGGCCTGGACTTACACCGGTAGGTGATGATAGTGCAGACAACCCAGCATCAGACGCCTCATATGAACAATCGTCGCTCACGTCCCCATTACCGAACCAGTGAAGGACTGTCGGACCTAAAATCAAGGAATCCCAAGGTAGCCTCAGGGAACATGCTCAGTAAGACACGAAATACATGGTCCTCATTCACGAATCTTCGTCGAATAAAGCAACCCGAAAAGCTTGTGAAACATTCCTTGCGTCATGCAACAGGCATTGTCCACGACGAGGTGCCCGTGTGAGGGTGGATACCGAATCCTCAAGGACCACCGATTTCAGGGTCTAGAGACTGAATCGCGGTCACGCGCATTCAGAGGAGCCAATGGGTCTCTGTCTAGCATCGTCTCATAGATATTATTCTAGACTTCTAGATTCCCCGGAGCGTCTGGTCACAGCGTCTGCAAATGAAGCGAAGTGAAGACATCCTGTCCTGCGACGAGGCTGTGAGACTGTGAGGGGTCTGGGAATGTGGGGCACCTAGAGATCTACATCGATGCCTTTCCTCAGTCGGGCTAGACTGCTGCCGACCACCAGTCCATCATGAATCGGCGCTGAAGCAGCCGCAGACACTGGCAGTCGTCGTCGTCGTCATCGTTATTGAAATATGCTCAAATCCTCCCCCAAACTTCACCTCTTCAGAACTATGCATGGGTTTTGTTTGTTTGTGCACAGATATCTGAACAATGGAGGCAATCACTCTAACCTCACATGCTTACATTGGTTGAACACCTTGTGCGATGCAGGGAGAGTTTGGTTAACTTCGATTGGGAAAATTTGGTGACCGGGAGAGTTCATTTGATTCTTCATGCTCACTCAGTAATTCTTGTAATGCAGACGTTGTTGTGCTCGTTCAGAACGAGATTTGTTAGTGTCGGTGTTATTCTAGTTTCATTCGGTCTAAACCTATTGTTCTATGCATTCCTAGTATGTGGAGTATTCGTAGACGTTTGTATGTTCTTGACACATCTTTTCGTGACATTCTTATTCTTGTGTCAGCCTTCTTGGTAATAGACCTATCATGGTAATAGACCTATCATGGTAATGTTTGAAAACTCTTCTTGTCCCTTTTGACTTAGTCACACAGAATTCAAATAGTTAAATATCAATAAAGTACACTTTTTAATAATTTAATTGTGTGCGTGTATATATATATATATATATATATTTGTCAATAGAAGAGACAAATGTCAAGGTGAGTCAATTCTGTGATTGACATGGTCATCAAGAGAAATCCTAGCAATTTTGTTTCTTAAGATTGCTTTTGCTACTTTGGATGTTTTAGTGGTTGTTGTTTTACAAAATGACTTATTGTTATAAAAAAAATATGTTTTTGCACATATCTACAAAAACATTAAATCAACTTATTAATATGATCATTAAATTAAAAAAAATATTCTTTTTTATCTTAATTACCTTAATCACCTTAATTCTATGACATTTAATAGAGATTTTAATTATATTTTCTAAAATAATAGAAAATAAATGTGTTATTAAGAAAAAAAATATAAAAATATATATAATTAAAGATTATTTTAAAATATTATAAAATATTATATACTCTCATTTAAAAATTAATTCTAAAATTAAATAATTTTGATTTTTTTAATATACAATTTTAAGTTGAAATTTTTTTTCTTTATGCTCTTTTTTCTTTTAAGTTGAAACTTTATTTTTATATGCTACTATATATTTTTTTTTCTAATTAATTTTTTATTATTCTAATATTTATTTTAAATATCATTATGATTTAATAAAAACAAACATATTTTATTTCATATACTATATAAAAATATATATACATATATATTACTAAAAAAATATTACAATAAAGAATATATATTTTAAAATTTTATAGATGTAATAAATTATTAAAAAAAAATTATGAAAAATTCTATTTGATAATTTTTTATTTTATTATTTTGAATTTTATTATTTTAAAATATATATAAAATTTTAAGTAAAATTTTATAAAGATAACTTATTTTTAGATAATTTTTTTAAAAATAAAATAAAATAAAATAAAGCACACACACACACACATTTATAAAGGAAGAAAACAAATTAAAGAGGCTTTTTGTACCTTAGCCTACAAGTTTGCTATATAGCTTAAATAATGAGGTATTGAAGACTTAGCCAACTAGACTTTGATCTTAGAAGTAGTATAAAGTAGAGATAGGAGTAAAGCTTGTTCAATCTAATTAATTCATTGTAACAAAAGAATTTTATTATTTAAATAATAAAAATATATAAAAATAAGTAGAATCATGTTGCATATAAAATATTATCTTTAAAGAGTATTAAAGAATTTTTTAAAATATAAATTAAATATCCAATTTAGATTTAGATGAATAAGTAGAAGTAAGTAAATTTAATAATATCTTATGTAGATATTTGTTAGAAGCTTTAAAGATGCAGATTTGACTTTATGTAAGTCTTTAGGTGATTGATAGGTTAAAACTTAGCCAAAAAGTTAGCTACATGTTGTATTTATTGGCCACTTATGATAGAATTTTGCTATATGGTGCACATATAAAACTTGTTTTACAAGTTAGATAAGTGTCTTGTAACTTGGACAGAAATTGGAGGTCCTATAAAATGTTGTCATATAGCTTCTATTTAGATAGGATATGTAGAGATATAAATATAATCTTCTTTATTCTTGTTAATGCTTTTTTTTTTTTTTTTATAGTCTTGTTTTAAGAGTCTCTAGACTTTTTGCCTTTATCAATAGCCATTTTGGTTTTAATATTATACTATCTTTAAATGACTATTTATTTTTTTGTACTAATACAAAAGTATATTAATTTTTTGGCTTTTTATGATTCATGTCCTTATCACTAATAGATATGGAAGTAAGACTAATATTATTTCTAATATTCTAGATATTTTTCTTATATTTTAAACTTGATTCAAGATTTTACAAGTTTTTTAGAACAATGACCACTTATTCTAATTCTTTTATATTTTATTTCTATCTCCTACTTTTTAATCTTTTTTAATTAAAAAATAATATATTATATTTTTAAAGTTGTGTTAAATTTTATTTTTTTAAAATAATCTTTTTAATTTATTTTTTATTTGTTATTTTTTATTTTGTAGATTCCAAGTCTTTCAATTTTTTTGATGAAAACTACTTTTTTTTTTATAAAATTTTTTAATCTATCTCTTTATTAATTTGTTTTTAAATGATCTTACTTAAAATATTATTTTTTCTTATAATTTGACAAGGCTTTAGTTTTATTGTTATTTTATTTTTTATTTAAAAAGTGAGTAAATCATTCCATATCTTTTGAGATATTTTTTGGTTTTAAAGGTTAAAAATCATCTACTTTTAAACTAATATATTATTATCTTTATATATTTATATATATATATATATACTTTTTATAAAATATTGATTATTTTTAGAAATTATAAATTATTTTCTTCTAATTTAACTTATGTATCTAATAAGTATAACTTGTTTCAAATTGAGTTATTTTTTGATGAAACATTTTTGTCTTTATAAGCCATTATGGCAAAGAAGAATAATCTACAAAGAGGGATAATCCACTCTTTTTAAGAAAAAGATCAATATTAAAAAAATAAGATTTTTTGTTTAAAAAAGAGTAGTTTATAACCTTCAAAATATAATAATAAAAGTGAGATAATCCACTCACTTCTAAACCAAGAAAAAAATAATATATTAGCACTCTTGTCAAACTATCAAGGACATAAATCTCAAAGAAAGAAATTTCTCAAAACACTCTTATGTCACTGAAAGTAACTAAAAAGTCACCCTAAGATGATACAATATTGAACTACAATGGCTATTGCTAAAAACAAGAAAATTAGAAAGACTTAAAAAAAGACTAAGGATTAGAAAGGCATTGACAAGATTGAAGAAGGTTTCAGTCTTGCTTCCATATATACTCTTAATTGAGAACTATGTGGCGATATCCTATAGGACCTCCAAAGTATGTTGACATTGCTAGTCATATGTCTTAACTTGCAAGGCAAGTTATCCAAGTATGTACCATATAGTTAGCTTATTACACAAGCTACTACATGAAGTTAACTTATCCCACAAACTATCAATATATGATTAACTTGTTGACCAAGTTTCTATCCTGTAAATATATCTTAAGTCAAAACCATGTCTATATAAAAGTCTTTGATCACTATGTCTAATTATAGTTTTTTAGACATATCTACTTTTCAAACTAGATATGGACATTTTGAATATAATGTCATGCCTTTTAGACTCAAGAATGCACTGGCCGCTTTTCAACATCTTATGAATGATGTTTTTTGTGAGTTTCTAGATGATTTTGTCATTTTTTATTTTAGATGACATTCTAATCTATTCTAAAAATATAGAATAACATGAACTTCATGTTAGTCGTATGCAACAGAAACTTAAAGATGCAAGATTTTATGCAAAGTTGAAAAAGTGTGTATTACACACTACTCAAGTTGATTTTTTAGGATACATTATTTCCAATGAAGGCCTTATAATGGATCTCAAGAAGGTCCAAACTATCATAAACTGGAAGATATCAAGAATAGTATAAGATGTAC